GTTTTATTGCTGGTACAAATGGTGTAAACCAGATAATTGATTTAATAAATTTTTGGGGGAGTTTTAAAATTAAGTTCGAATGCCAAAACATGCCCACCGCCCCCCTACCGCCCAAAACAAGTTCACCGCCCCTCAGCATCCTCCCACCGCCCCCCGGGGGGTGGTACCACCCCCGTTGAGAACCAATGGTCTATACCTTTTGCGATGGAGAGACAAAATATGGGAAAACCTTGGTCCCAGCTGGAACATGATAGCAGTATGCTACATTTGTACAAACATCTGTTGGTGTTACCTAAGGGAGTGAATCTACCCCAATGAATACAGCAACCAAAGTAAGATCGAACTGTTCAAGAATTTGGTTCATTTGTTAAGGCCAAAGCCATATTTCTGACTAGAATCTGTTTCGTTTCCATAAGTCTATCACTGTGATGGTCAACATCAGAATATTATCACTGCTCTATCCATAACTCTCAACTGTGAGGGACTTCTGCTGTTTGGCATATATCAATAGTGTTTTCTAGAGACTAGTTCACCATTCTTGTACCTTTTTATTTTTTAGGCCCCAAACCAGGGGCTTCCAAACTTTTTCAAGCCATGGAACTTGTTAGTTAAAAAGAGATCCTAGAACTGCTGACCAAGAGCGCTAGTGCTAGAAAATTGGCTCTGTTTTTGTTTTGCCCTCAGTCTCTCATAGAACTCCATTAAATTATTTTAGAACCCTAAAAAATCCTGCCCCAAACCATTTGATCTCTGATCAGATTCAGTCAATGTCCTAAAGTCTCAAGATTTACTTTAATTTCAGATCTGTTACAATTCTTCAGTTCTTCAATTTTGTCCCCTTTTGTAGACAAAATATGAAGACAAATCTTTCTTACCCTTACATTTTTCATGGCACACAATAGGCCTCAAATTTAGGCTTTAACGTTATTTCTTTTTCATCCATGAATGAATTAAACCCGCAGTTCCCAAACTGTGCACCTGGTGCCCTGGAGTGCCACAGCAAACTCACAGGGGTGCCGTGGGATATATTAACATTTTGCTACATCCACCGGCAGCTGCTGATAAAAAGCAAATACCACATGAAAATCAATGTGGAACAAGAAATGAATGTGGAACAGGTATCCAAGCTTATTCCAAAGTTTGAGAAGTTGCACAGTGCCCGACAGGCATATGCGTCCGTTTTGTAATTGTGGTTATTTAAAAATGAAATAAAAATATTATTTTTTATTTCAATTTATATGCATTATATTTTCAAACAGCTACTAAGTTGCTAGGACATATTTATTTAAGCTGTTTGGACCTACCTACCTAATAAATGGAACTGTTAAGTGTTTCTTTTGGCCTATGGGCACTGTGAAAAAATTTTTGAGACACTAAAGGTGCTACAAACCAAAAAAGTTTGGGAACCTCTGTATTATATATATCAAGAACATCACCTCCAGGCTCTGTAAGAAAGCACATTCTTTTCTCCTTGTCCTCTCCTTAATGGCAGTCAATTGTTCTCAATTACAACAGAAATCTTTGTGGAAAATGTCGCTATTGGCCATCCAGGTTGCCAATAAGCTCCAGTTTGGAGATAGCTTCAAAGCATCCTATTTGAAAGGGAAACAACATTTTTTGAGGCTGTCATTACTTAGCTGACATCAAAGAGGGTGCTACTCCTTAATGGAGGAGTGGGACTGCAGTTGGCCTTCTAGCCTTGCTCTGACTCTCTGTGGTTTGACTGACCAGTAATACACTTCATATTTTTAATAAGCAAGGTTGTGTGGGTTTGCTTTGTTTTCTGCCAAACCTGGGTCTCTAACATGCCATCATTGCTGCAGAGGAATTCAGCTTCACTTTTGATTCCAGTGTTTGTCATTTATGAGGAGGCAATGACCTCAAAAATAAACTGACCGTGTTTATTATGATCAGCTCAGACTTAACTCTGACCTGGAAGAAAAAAAGAGTTGAACATATTGCAAACATATCATTACTCCACACCAGGATTGGTAAATACTAACTTCCTCACACTCTGTAGCAGTGGTTGAAGTTTGCATTCAGAAAATACTCAAATTCAAACACTGCCCTTTTCAGTTAGAGTTTACCTACTAAATGTATTCTTATATAGCAGAGAAGACACCATTTTTCTAAAGCCCTAGAGCAGGGGTAGCCCTAACGTTTTCTTTTGATAACTCAAGGCCAGATTTAATGATTATTTTTTTAGTGAAAAAATTCTTGGTGGATTTTGTAGAGAGGTCTCTTTTTTTTTAAAGTCTGTTTGAAAGTTTACATTCCAATTTTCATGGATTTCCCCTCAGTCAGCGCTGCTAATGTAGCCCTCTTTCTCTAGTACTGTTACAGCCAAACTGAACAAATCTAGCTTTTGTCCAGTTGGGAATAGTTCCACCCCTTACCATAAAAGAGAGAAAGAGCAAGTCATTCCACAGTGTAGCTCAGGAACCTGCAGGGAACAGGCACACTTCATATTAGAACTGAAGGATAACTGTTTCAAATTTTCCAAATCTTTTGTTTCACAGGCAAATGTGAAGGTTTCTTGCAAAAACCCGGTGATCTTCAGTTTGGATTTGTAGCAACAGTTCTTTGAGGTGACTAGCAGCAATTGTTTTCAAGTGCCGAAGGCAGCCTACTCAAAGGAACACTAAACTATCGAGAGATGTCTCCATGTTCATTGTATGACTTCAACCAAATGTTATTGAAAATCTGTTGATCTCATTATCCTTTTTATATCAATATTAAAGCACAAGGTAGGATTCCCTTCCATGTTAAAGAAGCAGTGTTCTTGTGGGTATCTAGTTGCGACAATCCAAAAAAGTGCAGTGGGATGTACTGACCTAATGTAAGATTGGTTGGTACTTTTAGCTTCATAATACAATACAGTTTGCATTTCAGCTTAACGTAGACCAAATAGCCCTGTAGGGCACAAGTTCATGATGAAGAAGCAAGTTTTTTGTTGCCTGTTTAAGATTTGGATATTGGGAAAAGATCATTTCCAAGGGCAACCAGGAACATACATTTACATGTGTAGAAATCACATTTCCTATGGAGTAAATTCTTTGCTGCTAGCTTGTACTGGCACAGAGGCACATTTAAACCTGTATTTTCTTTCTTTGAGAAGAATAGCGAATGATTGCCTCAAAATAGACCCAAGCAGCAGTGACAGTTAGAATGAAAAAGGCAACAAAAACAACACTTATTCTCATTTAATTTGCAAAGTGTGCCACACAAAGCAATGGAAGCTGTCATAATATATCATTTGTTCCACTTTCCAAGCTTTCTAAGACAATTAGCATGTGCTCACATTTGTACAATTATTGAAATGCAAATTAAAAGTAGTAACTCTATTTGAAATCCCAAAAATATTAAAATTACATTACCTGATTCTTATCACAACAAAAATAACATGATGTATTTGTCAATCCCTTAAAAGTTTAATCAGTGTGCCACACTGCCTCCTGTGCTGTTTTAATGTTTTAAATCTCTACTGACAAAATCAAATTAAAAGTTTGCATATAAATTGATTTTCTTTGTCAACAGAACATAATTAAATTCATCCACCACCGTAACAGTTTATATCAACTTTCTCCAGATGTATACACATATCAGATTTCTGGGCAAACACAATGTAGTACTAATCCCAGCATGTCCTCTGGAGATATAAAATCATGGGGTTTGCAACTACTGTATACTTAAGAACTCAAAGTATCTGCAAATCAAGGTATGAAAATAGATTTCATTAAGATCCTAAATTAAGTGATGTTATATTTCCCTTAAGGTGCAAAAAGTCTACATTTAATTAACATTTTTATTTAAGAAAAAGTAATGTCTTAACGTAAGAGAAGTTATACTTCTTTTTAATTGTATAACAACCAATGAATTTCCCAAGGTTGTAATGCCAATTTGTCTTCTCATCAGTGCTGACAAGTCAGTAGCAACCAGCATGTAAGTATGGTAGGAAAAAAGCATGATTTCAAAGTACCGTGAAGTGGAATACTGTGGCATCTGCTGAAAAGAACTGCGATGGCTTTAGGTTCTCCTGAAAAGAAATGGAATGGCAATTTGTCCAGTCAGACATTGGTGATTCAGGGTATTCAAAGGAGCCAGGCAAACAGTCCAAAATATGTGAGCTGGAGTTCAGGTAAGCGTAAAAGTAGTAGTAATAGTAATAGTACTAAGAGTACTAGTACTCCTAGCTTTACTTATATGCAAATAGGGTAAGAACTGATAATCACTGACTAGAAAAGCATTTAAAGGTTACAGTAGAATTATAAATTATAGACCCCTTTCATGTTACTCTAAAAAGGTTTGTAAGATATTCCTGTGATATTCAGGATAAGAAAATCAAATGCTATTTGATTTCACATGATATAAGATACAAATATATGTGCTTAGATTATTATTAGATTTTTATTAGATTTCCCCCCCACCTTTTATATATAATTTGGTTAACTCAAGGCAACGAAGATGCCTAATACTCCTGCCTCCTATTTGTATATTAATATTGACATTTGGTAGTTATATATATTTATTTTACTGACAACCTGATGAAGAAAAGTAAGAATAGGAAGAATGTTAATTAAGAGCATTAAGTAGGAGTATTAAGAATCTGAGGATACATTGGGGAAAAAAATCCTTGCTAGCTTGTTAGAGGATGTGCTTCTGAGTGTAGGGAGAGTGCTAAAAGAGAACTGAGCAATTTCATAGCAAAAAGTCCCATTAAAAAAGTGTAAAATGCTCATAATATATAGACAGCTTGGATGCAGAGTATGGTCTTAATCCAGCTACCAATGAATGCTAGCAGACATATTTGAAGTACAAAGTACATCTATTAAGAAATACATAGGATAGGAATGCTTCACCTCTATTTAAGAATAGTGGAGGCACAAGAGAGAGAGAAAAGCAGGATCTTCCCTTTTTGTCTCTTAAATAGAGATTCATTTCAGTAATCACTAGGCCAGGAGTTACAGATACAAGAACAGCTGGAAATGCCATTCTCTTTATCAATCTGTCACCATTTGCCCTAGTGGTCAGAACAGTTCAAGGATGCAAAGAGATTATGCAGTCTCTAACAAACTCAGGTACTGTTGGTTGAATTCACACAATGTATTAAGCACAAACTATAGTTTCCAAATCACTTCAGTTAGGATTACTGAACATACTTAGTAAAAGAAAAAGAAGGACCCCCCCCCCACTAAAATCCTTATTAGGGTTTAAGCACATTGAACCCCCGTCTAAGAGAAAGCTGTGCAGTTCTGTGTGAAAATGATTGCAACCTCTACCCTGATTGCTCCATTAAGAGATCAAGGATTCTTTTTATTTTCCCTTTGAACAATGTATTTCAGGAACATATTGTTAGATAACAGTGCCTAGCCAAGAGAAATCAGTGGGATTAAGAGTACTTCTGTATGAACTATAACTTCACTGGCATTTTAACCTAAGTCTACAAGAAGTAGTGGTACAGTAGCAGTGAACCACAGGAGGGTTATAAATGTTAGATATCTATTATGTTTGGTCCCCACATAAAATTCAACTGAATGAGATGGAGTGATCCCATGAAAAAAAGTCTGTTTTCCATTAATTCTTCTTGTAAGACTGTTTGAGGAGAAGTGGGGTGTTGTTTACAGAACATGCAGCTGGTGTTAATAGAAAATTGTTTTTGTAAGTTGCAGGGAGCAACACATTTAACTAGCACCATAAAATGTGTAAGATATGAAACAGGCACTGATAAACAATTGGGAAATAAATGCCGATCTATAATACTTGGCTATCCAAGTCTGTTTCATTAGTATTTCATTTAATAGAATCTGCTATGAAAACTAAGGTCTCAAAGCAATTTTCATTTTCTGCTAGCTTTAAGGAAATCTCCAGAATATTGAAAATGTGCTAGCTTTGGCTATTTTTTAACAAGTCTACAGGATCATAAGAAAATGGCTCCAGCTAATCTCTGGCCTATTCAGAGTATGCATCACAAAGTATGAAAATGCTCTTGTATTTATCTTACATGATAATTTGGAATATGGAAAGTCAGTTTAGTGTAGTGGTTAAAGGCACTGGACTAGAAACCGGAAGACCAAGAGTTCTAGTCCTGCCTTAGGCACAAGCCAGCTGGGTGACCTTCGGGCAGCCACTCTCTCTTAGCCCTAGAAGGTGGCCATGGCAAACAACTTCTGAAAAATGTTGCCAAGAAAACTATGGAATTGCCATGTAGTCACCAGCGGTCAAGACTGACTTTAAGACACAAAGAAAACAAATGTAAGAAGCCTCAATCAGAGGCTGGGTTCACACATGATTTAATCCATGATTTAATCCAATTTAGTTTTAAGAACTTGCTTCATGTGATGGTTGTTACAAACACAATGTTCTGTAGGTACCTTATATACAGAACTTACATAAAATCAACTGGTATGGTCATGCAGCAGTTTGCGCAGGGTTTATGTGTGAAGTTGTGATGAATGATGCCAGCACCACTTAATTTTATCCATCTGTACAGAACTGATTGGTAATCAATAGAAACTACAACCACATGCCTTTATTTGATTTATATTGGCAACCTTCTCCAGCTTGGGGGCGTGTGTGAATCATCCTTCTTCCT